CACTGAAATACTTCATAAAACAATCATTTCTCTGTAGGTACTACTTAAATTAAGAAATTCAACTGTGTACAACTGATCACTTGGAGAAAACCCCAATACAAGATGCGATATATTGCTGATTTGGACCAGGGAGTAACAGTCTGTATAGACAATCTGGAGAGCCCCATGGACAGTTTAGATTTGCTGCATCATTCCACCGCATGGAAAACAGGTGAGAGCATCTAGGGAAGAAGACTAATTGAACTAATTATGGTGCCCTCTTCTATAAGTGATTCATATCCCAATAGTCAAGCTGAAGGAAGAAGCAGATTAATACCGTTAACAAATAATACACCAAATTTTCAAAGCACAAAGTAGTAGGGCACGCGATCAAGCCTTCTCATTTAATACATGCCTTTGATGCGAGTCCTAGGAAGCTGGCAGACAAGGTTGAAAACTGCACACAAATTTCCTATGGCAAGGTGGAAGAATAGAAGATAAAAGAATCACTTTGTCATATGACAATGGGTGTTTTATCCAATGGGTGCATTGGATAAAACGTATAGGAGGATCGCAGACATGGAACATAGAGCTTATGACCAGAGAACTTTGAAGAAAAATGACTGGAGGTTTTGAGAAAAGGAAGGGACATTATGAAGAAGGGTGCTAGTGGAAAGGGATCATGAAATGTCACAATGATTTTAGCTCAGTTTGTTGTTTGTGTTGGTGCTCGGACTATAAATCAGGTTTTGGGAGGATGCTTGCTCTAGAATGTCATACTATGAAATTTATGTCCTAGTTTTTAGAGATTATGCTTGTTGAGGAATTTCAGAATTATTAAAGGTGGTTGTGATAATGTAGCCATCACATACAATATCTCCAATGCATCAATCCAACTGTTGAATTGTTGGATTACCTCTTGGGAGTCTTACTCCCTCCCAAAAAGCAATTGCCTATCCCAAGGTTCCTAGTTGTTTATTCAAAAAGTGAGGAGTGATGCTGCGCGATTCTAGGTATTGCAAAAGCTAAGGTCACTCTTAGATGATCCCTGCCAACTGGATAGAGCTGAGGTGGAAGGACGAAGTCGTGCATCAAGATCTGCGAGCGAGAAACAAGTCATAGGCCCAAGGAGTTATCTCTAGGTAGATACTTCGACGCTCAAGTCAGTAGAAGGCAGTAGATGGTCGGGCCGAGCAAGTAGAGAACAGTGCTGGTCCAAACAGAGTAACAATATGGGAGTCAGAGGTTGGATTCTTTACCTTGAGCGGGAGGTACCTTCTTATACCCGGGGATCCATGTCCTGCTCGGATGAGGCTTCTAGGGTTGTCAGGATGAAACTAACTACCAAAGTTTTCGGGATAAGACCTAATCCCCAACGGAATTGTCCCCATCCTCTCCTATCTTGGTCGCACTTATCCACATGATGTGGCATCACATGGCTGGGTGAGTAAGGTAGGTCCGTGGAGATGACACAACGCTAACGTGGCCTGAGAGATGGAGCGACAACATAGGCACCATGTGGAACTTGGAGCCAGCTCAACCATGACCCGAACTAGGAGCTCAAAGAAAATCAAATATTTATATGATTCCATTCTTTTTAGTCCATACAGGAAGCAATCGTTGATTGAATTATTTCTGTCCATGCATAGATGGGAAGGTTGCAATTATTAAGCACATTTGCAGGATTCAGAATGTCTTGTAGGGAAAATCAACCAAAGAGATCAACTTAGAGAGCTATAAGAATTGGAGGATCATAGGAGGAAAATTGCAAGCTAGATATGTATCTATATATTTGAAATTATCTTGTTCTTTTAACAGACTACCATATGTATGCTCATATAGTTGGCAGTTATAATTGACTGGTTTGGTTAACCAGAATTTTTTATTCTGTTTTGTCAGTTCGGTTCGGTTTTTCAGTTTTTGATGATTATCCTAATAGTTGATTTATTTATTTATTTTGTATATGTGTTGGACAGTTAGCTGTTATGTAATCAGAGCAAACAGTGAGTTTATTAGCTTCAGATCCTGATGTTTTACCATGGGTTCAGAAATACCAACGTAGCCGAGAAACAATGTCTCAGACTAACTATGAGTTAAGGATTATTATTTATGTGTCCTTCCAGATACAGTGCAAAACAGTAGACAAGAAAAAGACGTATGGTTTATTCAATGGTAATAAAAGAAAACCTGACATGAATATTTTTCTTGTGGTATAATGCTAATAAGGAAAAGGAGCTTGGCCAGGGTAAGGGAGGGTAATCCTAACCCTGCTTCTGTCATCAGGTACTCAAAATTCAACAAAGGTGTACCACAATTGTGTGGAATTGGTTAGAAAAAATCTACTTTTCCCTGTAAAATCATAAGTGTTCTAGTGTTGTAAGTATTTTTTTTATTATGTTTGTGGCCTACCTTTTCCCTTTTGAACCTTTCAACTTGTACCAAGATGCTTGTTAATTCAGGTGCAGTCATGGATCTTTGCGGCACATTATTAGACCACTTCAGCAATTTGTCTTTAGATTGTCACTCAAAGGGGCCCCTTTGGTTCATGTAGTTGTATTTGTTTCTGATTTATCCTACATGCATGCCATCCCATAATTTCTGGATATTTTGTCCCAATAATATGTCCCAACATAGTTATCAGCCTTGTATTGCAACTTGTATCCTTTCCTTGAGATCAGTAATTCTGGTAAGAAGAAAATTTGTTATCCATGCTTATACACCATTTTGGCATGTAGTTATATAGATGAATGTAAAAGATATGGTACTTGTACAAGGACACTATACTTGTGGCTAATCTAGAAGGCTACTTGGAACTGCACAGCAAACCAGTAGTATTTTGGTTTTTTCCTTCCAAAAAAATTTTAATCATGCAATTTTTTTTTCTGATAGAAGCATTTGTTTTCTTCTTGGAAGCCTTATAATACCATCTTACAGCATATTTTTAACCATACTGATACTTGCAAACTGAGTTGGAATGACATAATATTCCAGATATGTGGCGTATTATGCATTTGTAGAGCATGCAAAACAAATCTATAAACTAAGCATTGCTCTTTCTTTCTCTTTTTATTTTTTCTTCCTTAGGTTTAGTTTAAGAAGAGTACAAATACAAATATGTAGGCTTCAGTTTGAGGAGTACAAATAGAAATCTGTAGTGTGTAAAACCTTGTATTTTTTATTATTTTTTATGTACTTGTACTGTACATATTTGTATTTATATTTTTTACCCAACTGAACTGTAAGTGCAAATACAAGGTTTAAAAATACAATATATAAAGTTTTGCACTGTATATATTTGTATTTGTACTCTTTCTCAAACATAGCCCAATAAAAATACAAATATGTACAGTGCCTTGTATACCATAGTTCTAAACCTTGTATTTACACTATACACATTTGTATTTATACTCTTTCTAAACTGAGCCTTATGCCTGCTGATTATACTACATTTAGGGGTGAAAATCCAATGGCCAACTCAGAATTTACATAGTATTGGGCCAGTGCTCTTTCAAATTTTAGCAAATGCTCAACCCAAGCCTGTTCAAGTCGCAACCTTAAGCAAGGATTAAAATATCAATAAACCTCCTGATAAGCTGCTACTCAAAGTTGGGTATTGGCACATATTAATATGGTCAATACTCTTTTTTTTTTGTTTTTTACTTTGTTTCTTTTATAAATATTAAAAAGGATGGGGTAGCCTATCCCAAGGTTTTAAATGTTGTAAATAGTTGTGTATCAATGTATCCATTCTTATCTAGGTGCATCAATATTTTAACTTGGCCCTCAGGTTGTTAATGGTCTGGTCTAATCAACCTAACTCTACCACACAAGGCCTGTATCTATCAAGTTCCAATTATAATAAAGTCAAGATTGGTTTTACTTGTCTGGACTCGATTAAGATCTGAACTTATTATATAGGTTGTGTTTGATACCATTGCCATTTCTGCTTGCACTGTTTTTAGGTTGGTCCATATAAATTTTTTGAGAATATATTTTTCGGAGAAGTATGAATACACCCGATGCAGAATTCTGAATTCCAGCCTCCCTACACCCGATGCAGAATTCTGAATTCCAGCCTCCCTACACCCGATGCATTCCCCCTGTATTATGGGGCTATAAAATTCTGATCTGGGCTGATAGGTCATTCTCCCTATATTTTTTTCTACAACAAATTTTGAGTTATCAATACAACATTTGACACCAGTGGTGTTTCTTCAAGAAACATCAAATTTGGTGTTTCTATTATAAATGCTAATACCTAATCCAATATCTATAATTTTTTTAGTGAAAGTGGCTATCCAGTGTGATGTGATAAGGCAATTTCTCAAAATTTTGTATTGATCAATCTAAAACATTGCAAGTAGAACTGTAGATGTAGCATCAGTACTAAATACAACCATAATTAGCAATTAACAAATGATAAAAATACTTCCTGATGTTTTGCACATGTTTCTCATGCTTAGTAGTTAGTATGTAATAATCTATACTACTGTTATAATAGATTTATTAAAGAAAATTCAATCCATTTACGAGGGAGTTTAATACAGAACACAAGGATGTGCGCACCAACTTCTAAACAAATTGTTTTCAAGCCAGGAATGGATGGATGCAACAAGTCGTTATTATCAAACTCCTATATGGAAGGTTCAAAATATCGCAATATTTTAGGTGCAAATCATACGCTAACAAATATAAAAAAAAAAATAGTCATGGACTTTTGAATTGCGTCATTAAAAAAAAATTATATCATGCGTGTCAATATTTCATGATGAATCAGATTCCCATTTGACCCAAATCAGTCGGCAGTCTTTCAATTCTTCTTGATGAAAAGCCCAAAAACTTCATCATGGGGGTACAGGAAACGCTATAATCAAGTCTTTGTCATTAGGGTTAGTATTTCAAAACTTCAAATCGTTAGAAAGAATGTGGTTTTACACTTTGCATGCAGCTACTGAGATACGCCTTCTACACCGTCACTATCAAAGTAAGAAAACTAACCTTACTTCATTGAACAAGTGGAATGACCAAAAAAAAATGCCATACCGGTAACAGATAACAGATGTACAGATTACGGTGTATCAAACAAGTAATTAAAATTATCTGTCTTAAGTCTTATGATTTTTTGTTATAGTTTTGAAGTGATTGTATTGGGTCTTGTAATGGCCATAACCAGTTTTCCTTTTCAATTAAATTATGGGATCAAGGAAACTTCAAAACCCATATTTTTCATGGAGCATACAGAAAGCCCATATTTTTCATAATGAATAAATCTAAATGAAGGAAATCAAAACCTCTGTTTCCACTAGTTGAAGGCTTGAAGCTGGAAACTTCCTCAAATAAATCCTGTACGCTAAATTTTCTTTCTTCCAGTTTCTCCCCTTTCTCTTTTGCAGTTGAAGGCACGGCCTTACCAAGTTCTGGATATCAAGTCAACAGATCAAGTCCAAAATTTGAATATAAATATAATTATCATCCTTCTCATTTTGACTTAGGTCTAATCAGATCAAGCCCACCCATGAATGGTATTAATGGCTCAGGAATAATAACAGATCCATCTTCTTTCTGGAAATTCTCTAACAGACAGATGACCATCCTAGGGACTGCACATGCTGTTGCATTAAGGGTGTGCACAAACTGTGTTGGAATGTTGGTTTTTCCCTTTTTAGGACCAGTTGATATTTCAGATGAAGGGCGGAACCGGATGCCCAACCGCCTGCTTTGATAGTCAGTACAATTTGAAGCACTTGATATCTGTTACATGACATGGATTTGAGAATTATTGAACACTAGCATAAAGCGAATGTAAGGTAGTGAAAAGGTGCACTGAGAGGGTTGTGTACTTGTTTATTATATTTTAGATAGAAAGAAAAAATTAGCATTGAAGTAAAAGCCTTCATACCAAAGCAAGTGTCAGCATTATTTAGTAAATATAGGTGAATTAGCTTCCCATCTATTGCGGTTAGGTTTTTTGTATACAGATGAGTAGGCCCTTTATTACTAATATTTCTAAATGAATAATTAATTCTAGAATCTAATAAATTTTGGGTAGCTAACTTGGTTCTATATTCATAACTAATATTGCCTAATACCTACCAACTAATAATAATTCCTTTTAAGTCCAGTGATTTCAGCATACAAAAAGTGCAAGACAATTTCTCACTTAACTGTTCCAGTCAGTACAGTTTATCAAACAGTATGTATGTATAAGATACCCAAGTAATAAAATTAAATCTACATAAATTCATTTTCCCGAAGTTAACATTATAACTGAACAAAAAAAAAAAAAAAATTGAAGAGATGGCAATACTGTCCATTTGAAATAATCAGAGGAAAAAAAGTCTTTTTGCTTCCCAACTATAATGGTCCCATACTTCAATTCCTTCACACTACTTATCCTCAGTCAAATTAATTTATGCAATAGGAGGTTTTTTTTATGGGAAACGGTAACTTTCATTAATAATAATGGATAAAGATTACAACTGTCACCATCCAAGGGCCGGATGGAGAATCTTTTGACAAAAACAGTCTCATAAACAGGCCCAAAACAACTCCTGCCTATTGACTCCTTGCTTAGCTAAAGCCAGCCATACCATTTGCTGATCTTCTTGCCCAATTAAACCTTACCCCAATCTCCCTCGCTAAGCTTGAGATTTCTCTTAGCTGTTGTTTGATTAGCCAAGTGCCCATGCTTCTTGTTTGCAACCAGCCTATTACCAGTTCGGAGTCTCCCTCCACTTCTAATTGTTGCATTCCCCATTGTTTTGCCAATCTGAGACCTTGGAGTAAAGCAAAAACTTTCTGCTCTTAAGGAGTCTCCCACTCCTACAGGGCCTAAATAAAGGGCCAGCACTCTAACCTCCTCACCTCCGAAAACACACCCTATACCTGAGGGGCCTGAGTTGCCCAGAGAGCTTCTGTCAAAATTCAGTTTCACTCTAGAGCAAGGCAGCGGGGACCAACTTTCCTGTACTGAAGTAGAGAGGGATGAGGAACCAGCTATGACACTCCATTGTCTAGTGAAGCCAGTTAAAGAAAAGTCTTTAAAAAGCTCCAATGCTTTTGGCCAATGTATGATCCTGGTGGTGATGCCCTCTATAAGTGCTTTCTTGGATCTTTCTTGCCCTTGGAAAATCCAATTATTTCTCTCCTCCCACACCGACCAAATAACAGCTGATCTTATTGTTTTCCTCATCACCTTACCTCTCTTCTTTGGTAATTGGAAGAAACTAGGGTCGAAAAGGTTCCACACACACGAAGGAGCATCATAGCTGGTAATTTTTCAGTAAAAGAAGTGTAATAGTTTGTCTGTCTAAAAGTTATAAAATGGACTTTCTCATATATAGATACCGATTACTTATAACTATATCTATTAATTAATACAATCATCTCCAACTAGGAATATTAGTTATTATATTATCTACTGTTCTATTGAGATACAATCATACAAGACATAAACCAAGCTATCCAACTACTTGATCACCTCTCCTAACCTTAACTCCAATCAAGAATAGAATTCACATTGCAAAAAGAACTGCAATTAGAAGTGGGGTAAATAAGTTGATCATGATTTCTGCATGCTAATTGCTAACATACCTCACCATAACGTTCTAGACCCGGCATCCATGCTTCTACATCAAATTTACGGTAAGCAGGTGCACCCAAGTCACCAGATGCCATATCCAAAGTTCTGAAAGTAAATAAAACAAACATGGAACAAATAAATACAATAAATAAAGCATAAGTGGAACTGCAGAAGATAAAATGGAAACATGTAAAACTCCTTTCCAACCTGAAATGAAGCCCTAGAGATGAAAAGAGATCTTCCTCAATTCCAATTAACTCCTCATGGTAGGTATCACTATCCTCTGGTCGGCACAAAATGAACATTTCCACCTTGCTGAACTGATGGACTCGATAAAGGCCCCTGGTCAGATATTTCATCATTGTGTCACACATCTTTCTAAACAGTTTTGTCACATCCAACATTTGCAATAATAACAAAACATACTGGTATTATGGTATAAAAGAAAACTCAAGCCAGGCTTCCAATCTAGAACAAGTACGGTCAACTAAATGGTTAAAAAAAATATTCATAGAAAAAATGGTGGCCATCATCTTATATTTTCTCAATATGCAACAAGCGATTGAATATGAAACATTTTAAATTGTATCAGTCTCACTTGAGAAATACATTAAGAAATGCAACATACTTCACAAAATTATCAAACTCAATTGGCTATGTGAAGTTTCATGTAACAGAAAAGGCAAATGTATCAGTGGAAATGCATGGATATTTATAGGTATCTAATCCTCTGTTTTCCATCCATTGATGCCCCATAGGCACTTGATTTTTAATAGAACTTATACCCATCTTGAAGTAACTGAAACTTTATTAATAATGTCATGATGTACAGTGTGCATTTACATGGATACGTCTGAGGGATCCAAGTTCTACAAGTCATAGCACTTCCAATAGAAGTGGAAGCCAGCAATGGCCATCCTCTAAGACTGTGTTTGGTTTGATAAAAAATAAGAGAGAAATAGAAAGTTGAGGGAAAGTTCTTAACTAAATTTGTCAAATTCTTTAATAAACTTCCTTTAACTTTGTTTCTCCCTTATTTTCCATCAAATCACAGAAAAAAACCAAGGTTCATTAGAGGAGAATCATGAGAATTCCTCTGGAGTCTGTATCCAACAAATGACCCTGATCTCAATCAAATGAATCAGTGGTTCTTTTTATTGATTTACCTTACTTTTTTCAAAAAAAAAAAAAGCTTTATTTAGAAAAGATCTGGAATTTCTTTCTCCCCTAGTCCAAAACAAAGCATCCACCTCTGTAGGGGGAGCCACCTACAGTCAAATAAAGCGGAAAAATGCTCCCAAATTCTGCTTTAAAAAGGAACAAGGCATTGATAAGTAATTAGTGGTTTCACAGCTTGCCTTCCAAAGGAAGCACATGTGGGTGATAACACCCAATTCGACCTTTTTTTTTTTTTTGCAGGGTTTCACAAATACTGATCATGGATTACTGGGACCTAGTACTGACCTTCACAACTTCAAAGGGACTTCTTATGGAGAGGATGGGAGGAGGAAAAGAAAATTCATTTAGTAAACTGGGACCAAGTGTGTTCTCCAAAAGAAAAAGGAGGTCTGGGGATCAGAAACTTGAAGATTTTCAATCAGGCCCATTAGGGAAATGGGTTGGAGATTTGGAAAAGAAAGAGAGAGCTGGTGGAGGGAATTACTAACAACAAAATATGGTACAGATAGTGGTGACTGGGTAACTGTGTCTCTAATTTCTCCCCTTTGGGTTGTTCCCTTTGGAAGAAAATCATGGAAGTGGCTCCACTTCTAAGTGGAGGACTTTCCATAAAGGTGGGTTCAGGTCACAGACTGAAATTCTAGAAGGATAGTTGGCGTAGTACCAGTTTGCAGAAAATCAGGATGTATTGGTGTCCGAATGCTATGAGCTGAAAGATAACACCATTACCCAGACCCCCTGCTTCAGAAGATAATTTCAAGATTGGGAAATAGACCAAGTGGTAGAGCTGTTTCAGCTGCTGTCTAACCAGTCCTTAAACCAGTGGGAAGAAGATACTTGGACCTGGAACTGGTCTGCAGATGGATTATTCTCAGTTGGCTCTTTTGCCAGAAACTTAATAGCAGGAGACAGAGCTGAGGTTCCTGCTGATAAGATCTGGAATCCGATTCCCCCCTCAAGAGTAAATGTCTTGATTTGGGCTATAGTGCTGGATAAAAGCCTCTCAAAACAGAGCCTAGTTAGAAGAGTTAAGATTCAAGACCTGCTTTGTGTGATGTGTGGCCAAGAGGAAGAGGATAACAGTCATTTGTTATCCACTGCCCTGTTGCTGCAGAAATTTGGGGACATTTCCTCTCTTCTGTGGGCTTATTTTGGTCTATGCCTTTGACTGTGAAGGGCCTGCTATGGTGTTGGGAGCTTCAAGGACTGTCAAGGATGGCAAAAGGTGTTTGGAAGACAGCCCCGGCTGCAGTAATAAGCACCATTTGGGAGGAAAGGAATAGAAGAATTTTTCAAAATTGTTCCAAGTCAACTGTTTAATTTCTATTTCTTTTAGTAAGCTAATCTCCTGGACAGCAGCTGCAAAAGGTCTCCAAAGCAGGATGCTTGGAACCCAGCTGGGGTCTAATAGTTTATTTGAGTTGTAAGTCAGTGTTGGGCCCTCGGTCCCGGTCTGTTGCTCCTGAATGGGGCTCCAGTAATCTATGATTCCATTTAATAAAATTACCTTACCTTTTTTCAAAAAAAAAAATCTTTAGATGGATTACTCCCCACCAGAATGCCCTAATTTTGGGAGTTATAAGGGCCAACCAGATTGCTTTGACTAGAATTGTACAAGGACTAATCTCTTGTAAAGAAGCTGACTGGCATTAAGACTAACATATGAACAATATGAATTGTAACAATTCATGGAAAGTGTGCAGATGCTTCCATTACAGTAGATTTCTTGAATGGAAAAGATAACATGCCTAAGGAAAAAAAGACAATAAATCAAAGATAAAATTAGAAAATAGATATTTATTAATAGGAACCCAACTAGAACCAAAAAAATTTCACCTTGTTGCAGTGCCTGCAGCACCAGCCTCAGTACGGAAGCAATGGGAGTAAGCAACGTACTTCAAAGGCAACGTTGAACTAGCTAGAATGGAATCCATATGAATTCCCCCTACAGGAATCTCTGCAGTCCCAATGAGGCATTGATCACTACCCTCAATGGAATAAACCTGTTAATGTTAGAATGAAATTATGAAATATTAATAGATCATTCTGACCATCATTTTAGCCTATTGTGAGCCACACCATATACAAAAGCAATTGCATGGACATGATAACATTCTGACCCAGCCAGGTTCATGGATAAAATTCAAATATAGTAAGTTAAAAATTCATTAATTTGATCCATTCAAAGAATAAAAAGAACAAAAAGGAAAAAACTTTTTTACAAACCTGAGTGTTTGCTCCACGAGGTTGGAAACCACATTTCTCAATGACAGACGACCTAACAATCTCAGGGGTGGTTAGAGGTGTATAACCCCTTTTTGTAACTTCTGATAGAGTCCAATTGATAAGTGCCATCTCTAGCATAACTGCCTCATTTTTTAGGTAGTAGAATTTTGATCCACTTACCTATACAAACCAGCATTGGTACATTACAAGCATGAATGAAAATTTCAAAACCGTATTACAGTATTTGAATCCAGTAAGTAGTATAAATATAATAAAATAAATGACTAATAGAAAGGAAAAAGTTTCAAACTTGTATAATATTCAAAAAAAAGTTTCAAACTCACACAGAGATTTCAAGGTTGTTTGAGGTGAACTAAGCAACAATGATTCAAAATAGGATGACATGTTCATAATTAATTAATACCCTAGTATTGATCTCTTCCATTGTCATATTCCCCAGATTCTTCTAATTACTAATCATCACCATCACATTTCTACACATGTATTGTGAGAGAAGCTCAGGCAGCAGAGTTCTAGCCAAACAAAGAAATTGAGCTTAGGGTGAAAGCTGTTTAGAACTACACATTCCAGGCTCTTGATCCATCTTAAATGATGTAGGGGGGAGGATGAAAAACAGCATTAATTTTATTAATCCCAATGGTCTAATGACCAACAGTGATGTGTTCAACTCTCACCCAGATGTTTTATGCAAATATATATATATATATATATACACACACACACACAATCAAAAGAATAAATATAAATTATATATCCAGTGAGAGACTGAGAGTATAGATTGTATATCTCCATTGCTCCTCTATTAAATTTTTGTTTAAAAAACCCATATTTGAAGCAAAGAAATCACATCCCTAAGCAAGGTGTTAGTCCAATTCATGCAGTCTTCTACAATAGAAAGATCCATAACAACTGGGAAAAAATTATATTGAACTGAATATGGCAGAACTTCAATTCCAAGTACTAGCATAATAAACCCAACAACCATGGTCTAAGAACAAGTCACTCTACTTCTCAGTTGGAACAAAACCACAACATAGAGCAGCCTTCCAAAGATGGCCTTAAAAATGCCATCCATGCCAAGATATCAGCGTTCACCTTGCAATACTTCTTCAGGCACACCTCCTTTGCCATCACTTCCAGACAACCTTCCAAGCCCAAGCACAGTAATCTACAACTCAGGCTAGCTATCAACAGCCCTTCATCGTTGATCTTCTTCCAAGATTTTCCATTTTTTTTACACTCATTCACCTTACACATAATTTTGCTACAGTTTATTTTCTTGTGATTCTCATTTTGTTCAGGACTCTGAAAGGTGAATATAGAATTACACTTCCAAAGGTTATGCGAGTAATTTTCTGAATGAGAAAACAGCCCCTTTGAAGCTCATTTATAAACAGATCTTAGAAGTTAGAAAAGAATTGCATAGATCCAGGTATGCGATCCATCACAATGTAAGAGCTCCCAAGACTGCCAATGAAGAAGTTAGATTTGCATCATTACAAATTAGATATACCTTAATACCTTAGATAAGCCTAAGAAGATACCTCTGCAGCTGCATCAAAATCAAAGAGATCTAGTCCTTTTCCAAGTTGCAGGTGATCTTTGACAGGGAAGCTGAACTCACGTGGACTACCAACCTACAAAATAAAAGTAAATTTTGGAAAAAGAAGGTAGATGAACCTGATCTACTGAACTTGATAATGGGATCATAAAAAATCCTAATACCATCCTTCTGAGTACTGAGCAATCCTCCCCTCCAATAGGAACATCTGGATGAGTCATATTTGGTATGCTTTGTGCTTCTTGTTGAAGCTTATCAGTGAGCTCGACAAGGTCTTCTTCTAGAGCTGCAAGTCCTTCCTTAAGATTCTTTCCTGCATATACAATAAACTAGAATATATAAACCAGAACAGTATCATCAATAAAATAAATACTTTAATGAATACCTTCTTCTATAAGCCTTTGGCGTTCAGATCGTTCTAGTTTTCCTTTCATCTTGTTTGCAACCACATTTCTTTCCCCACGAAGCCGTTCAACTTCCTGCCATCTGTGAATTATAATTAACTATAACAGAATAGGCATTTTTTGTGCATTTGTTATCTCAGAGTTGCAACCATTGTTCAAGAAATAAATTAGACTGTACAGTCACATTGGATTGCATTGGAGTTGGATCCCTATTGGTTCATTTTGGTTACCAAATGAGTTGTTGTTAAGAACTAGATAGAACTGATTAATCAAATAGCCTAACAGTGCTACCTTCTATTCTCTCCCAATCTCAAGGAACTTTCATACAAGGGAAGCAAATCACCAATAAAATCCTTACAGCCAATGAGTGTGTACAACAATTTAGAAGGATGGGAAGGAAAGGGTTAGTGTGTAAACTAGAATTGGAGAGAGCCTACAATTATATGGATTGTTTTTTGTTTCTTCTGGACTGGATTTTGTTAAGTTTTGGGTTTGGAGAGAGATGGAGAAAATGAGTTATAGGACTCCTGCTCCTACTATTACTCCATTCTTGTAAATGGAAAGGTAAAGTTTTCTTCCCTGCAAAGAGAAATAAATCCTTAGGCAGGATGACTGTCTCCATTCCTATTCACCTTAGTTGCAAATGTTGCTAGATGGTTTGGTTGATCACGATGGCAAATAATGCAATTTAGTCAGGGGATGGAGGGTGGGTAAAGATTAGGTGCCATGGCAGTAACTCATTTACAATTTTTATGATATCTCATCTGTTGTGAGGACATGGAGGAAGAGGACATCATTAGGAATACTGGGCTCATGCTTAACTGTTTTGGGAAAAAAAAAACTCAAATTTGAGGATCAATCCAATAAGAGTTGCGCTAAGTGGTGAGTGAACAGAGGCATTATATCTTTTGTCTTTAGCTTTATAATTGTCCTGTTCTGTCCCATACTTAATGAGGTGTCCCATAATTAGGGGCAGAAAGGTAATTTGGAATAGTTTAAGAAGTTTATATAAAGCACTCAACTGGGAGAAATCTTTTCTTAATATATTTCCCATCGGCCTAAAATGATCTCTTTTCTTTCTTTCTCGTCTTCTTCTTTTTTTTCCAACTTTGTATTAAGAACAATAAGAAAAAGAGGCAAGATTAGTTAGGCATTGTGTTTGCACTATACAAAAAATCCCTTCCCAAACCATACTTTGCTAAACCATCAGCCAAAAAATTTACATTCCATGGGATCCATCTGAAGTTGCAGGATAAAGAAGAAGATAACTCAAAGATCTCATGTAAGAAGCTGGACAATCTCCAAGGGCCCAAACCGTGCTCTTTAGCCCAATTGATGGAATTTCTAGAGTCAACTTTCACTATACCACTGTAAGTCAACTAAAATGGAGAGCTTTTGCAAGTCTTAATCCTTGAAGGAGGGCATGAACATCAATTTCTGAAGCATCCTCAGCTGTAACTGGGCCACTCAAAGCCCAACATAAATCCCCCTAAAACTGTAGAAAAACCTGTTGGAAGGGTTAGAAATCAGATTTGACATGGCCGAACCAGGTTTGGTGGCTGGCCGAATTCTCAAATATTTTCTAACCCAACCCAGGAACCAATTTCCTGGTGATTTTGAAATCTGAAATTTCGGGATCGATCTTGCACTTAACTGGACCAGATTTGAAACCCAAATAAAAAGTGATCATACCTGATACGGAGACCACAAAAATGCAGCTCCCAGAGTGGTAGTTCACACCTAATATGAGTCCCAAAATCGGCCTCCAACTGAAGATGGCTCAGTGTGTATGTGAAGCCGACTCAGCAAAAACCAGTCTCCAACTTGCTAGGATCGAAGTGGGTATGTGAACTTGATATGCTCTAATGTTTTTCTTGCAAAAACACAGTAGAGGGCTGATAGAAATCAGCCCCTATCAAAGCTAGGTCGTATTAGGGTTTCTGGGAGGCAAGGGAGAAGATAAGAGAACAAGAAAGTGGAGAGAATTAGCTTAATTGGACTCTCCCCTCTTTCTCCTTTATATAGAGCACTCTCCTAATCTAATTAGGAGTTGATCCAAATAAAATTTGGATCAGAAGTTTATCTTTAATTGATAAACATTATCTTCTTAAAAGGATAGGTACCCCATACCCAAATCCATGCCCATTTTCAACCCAAGTCACATGATAACTTAAGTTGTCATGTGATCACTTAAGTAATCATATTAGTAAAGGGCCTTATGCCTATTTTCTCTAATGGTTCACATTCCAAGGTGTTGCATGGCCACTTCGGGCCTAAATATTGTATGGCATGGGACCCACAAAGGTCTCACACAAGTCCATAAGGGGTCGGCCCTACCTTTGAAAGAGGTCAGGCCGAATTCACTACTTAGGGCAATGAACCTCTAACCCAATCAACTTGGGCTCAATTTGGGCACAACATTTACACCTAAATGATCCTTGGATTCAGCCACCATATGAAGACCCAAGGATAATGGACTTATGTAAGATAAATCCCATCAGGTAATCAGCCCTGTAATGACCTCTTACACCTAATCTCTCGGCCCATAATCATCAGAACACTACCCACAGGGAAGGACCTCTTCCCTGACAACACAGTGTCACATTCTGCTCGGATGGATCCCGGGATCAAAACATTTTGCATAAAATAGTAATATAACATATAAATAAATTTTGCAAATCATATTTCAAATACAGTTGAAATCCACTGCCGACAGTTTAGGTTTCATCAGAGAGAGTGTAAAGCCTGATATTCGCTTTGTTTGACAAAGGGATTGATCCTATCACTATGATCACCCACTCAAATAATTTCCCAAACTGCCCCAACATGCCCAGGTATTTGACCCTTGATGGATCTCACTGGTTGGCACATCAAAAGCAAGTCAGTCCAATACCTAGTAAAAGTATCATAATCAAGTTTGGGGTTAAGTGCAACTTTCTAGTTTTGCCCATCTATCTCCAAAGTCCAAGGCATAACTGGAAATTGGTCTGGGTTTAGTGTTTCTTATAAACGCCCACTGGTTGTGCTTGGGGTATAACCCTAATAGCTGAGACAAGCTACTCCACCAGTTCGGCAGCACACTAGTGCTAGCCTTGTTAGGATAAACTCTGTAAGTCAATCCAATGGCTTAGAACATTCTAAACTAACACGAGTCTCATAAGTGTATAGTTTAAGGAGTAATTCACAGAAAACATATTGGTTAGGACATGAAACAATAATGTACTTTATTCATTCACTAATAATGTTTTATGTACATCAATCTTATTGGAGATAAGAGCATACACTATCTAACAAAACACAGCAATACCAGCAGCGGAGCAGCCGACCTAGAGAAAGAGTTCCTCTTGAAGCTACCATAAAATTGGAGGATAAAATTGCTAGCCTATTTGAGATGAAGAGTATAAGAGGGGAAATCAACAGAAAAGGTAAATAAATCATCTTGCCAACACCTATCTTCTTTCCTTGCTCTTTCAGGAAGATAAACATTTGAACAAGTTGCATAGGAGTGAAATTAGGAGGCGAAGATGTGGATAGGTATGCTGGAATTTTGAGTTGTTTAGTGGCTGAGTGGATAGTAAAATACTTGGCTATCTAAATAATGTAACATTTTGGAGTCCGGTTTTGGATATGCTATCCAAGAAATTGGCAACATGGAAGAAAGACTAAATCTCTTTGGGGAGTGTGATCATTTTGATCAAGGCCAAACTTTCCAACTTACCTATCTACTTTCTTTTAACTTTTAAACACTAGTTGCTAAAAAGATAGAAGATTTAAGGGATTTCTTATGGGAGCCAAGTGACTCCAAAACTAGTTAATTGGCAAACGGTCAATAAAAGTAGGGAAGAAGGTGGATTACATTTAATTCATAAAAAAAAAAGTGGATTACATTTAGGTATGATCTCAAATAGGGATTTCTTGTCAAGGACAAAGAAAAGGTGGCGACTGTGGAAGAGGCGTGTAAAGCAAGGAAGAAGCAAAATCTTCCCCTGCCAGGAAAATATTAAGGAAGAGAAGAGAAACTTTTTTCCAAGAGCTTTAAAAGGAAAAAAAAATCAAAATTTGAAGGAATCCGTGGCTCCTGTCTCAAAGCCTGCACCAGAGCTATTTGCTTCGGACCCAAATGTTGTGAAGTCCCACTGGATATCCAAACCCGACCCGGTTAGGAAACCCGCCAAAACTACGGGCTGTCACTCACCTCCAGACTAGGGCGAAGGCCACCCCAAGGGAAGCCCCCCATCGACACCAACTTTCAGCGAAGAAATCATCCCTGCAACTCCCCCAAGTCCAAACGATCGCAGAAAGAGAATCTACCGACCCCCAACTCCGTCGCAGATCTCGACCCCAAGCTCCTCCGAAGAAGAAGAATCTGAGCCAGATGAAGACCTGAGCACTTACAGGACAGAATCTGAAATGGATACCCAGGAGATAGCCTTCAACAGATCCAAAGCTCTCTTTGCAGAAAGAGAAGCGTGGGGAAGTGTAGAAATGCTGGAAGACGTCCTCTTGGTAGACCCAGATTATGGGATTCTTTCCGCCAACAAAAGCTTTGAGACTGGACGAGGGAGAAACTTATCGCCGAACCAGCTCACAAATCTCTCTAACTCAACTCCCATTACGAATCCAGAACTTTCTTCTTGTTTCTATCATTATCATGATTCACCTTCTCATTGCTACCCCTGTTGTTCTTGTGTTCCAGGTTCAGGTGGCCGGCTGTCCCAACCAATGGCTCTCCCAAACAAAGGTTATGTGGAGGTTTCGGGTTCAACCTCTATGTCCAAGGAACTGATTAGACGTCCTAGCAGGGAACAGAATATGGATGTAGTCACAATGATGGCCAAAAAATTAGGCCTCCAGCAATGTGATTCCGACAAGGTTTCTGGTAGAGAATGGAACAGTACAAGAGATAAGGGAGTTGACCAGGTGACATCAAGAACAACGAAAATTCTGAAAAATGGACCGAATAGGGAATTAAAGAGGCTACAATGGGGTATAGTTGATGAAAATTCGGAATATGCAGGAGAAGGGAGTAGAAGAAAAAGGTAAGGGTAAGATCATCAGAGGTTAAGATGAAAATT